TTTGGGGCCACGGTTTTAGCTAAAACCGTGGCCCCAAAGTATTCTTACGCCTTGCGTAAAAAATTTCACAGCTGCGCCTGTTCCTTTTCGTAAATCCGGCCAAACCTTCAATGTTTGCGACCATCATTATTTTTAGTCATATTATGGCTTAAATACAGGCGTTTAGTGTTTGATTGTAAAACTCCCTGAAGAAGTCTATGTTAGTTAGACGAAACGCGTAGGAGAATAAACAAGTTTTACAGCAACAGTTCGCAGAGTGCTGCTCACTAGTTTAGTTTTAAAAATTTTTAAAAATTTTAAAAATTAAAAAAAAAAAAAAGGTATTTATTTTTATTTTTGCATGTAAAAATTACGTCTAATCCTTTTGTGAAAAAAAATAAAAAAATAAAAAAATAAAATAAAAATAAAAAACGTCCCCAGTAAGAGAAAGGCTGCATAGGAGACTACAGGTGCTACCTGCTGCTGTCTGTAGGTGAGTCTTGCTGATTGCTGGACATGATTGCATTGGAACCTCTACTTTGAGAAGCCTCTATTCATGGGACACCTCCATTCAGGAGACACAAAATTTGGTACCGGAAAAAACTTCCACATAATCTTTGAATGTGTAACCGCTATTGAAGGGACACCTCTTTTCAGGGGAAAGGAACACATTTTCTGGGTCCCAAAACCCAGGTTTAACCTCATTCAGGGGACACTAAGCATTCAAAACATGACTGACCACAAACAGGGTTGATAACTTTAAGAGTACACTAATCACAATTATGGAAGCTTTCAAAAACTGAACTATCTCACTGAACTTGATGTAATCCACTCATGTGAATTCAACATATGAAGTCTCAGAGATAAGTTAATGCTTATTTTGTATATTGCCTTTGTTGGTTTACCATTAACAAACCCCAGACCAACTTCATTTGGGGGACACCTCTGTTCAAGGGACACTTGCCTTGGTCCCGAGGGTGCTCCCTGTATTGAGGTCCCACTGCATTAAGGGCATGTTGCAGGGGTTTCTTGAAGGCATCAAGTCTGACAACAAGCAAAAATGTTGGTGTTGAAGAGTACCATTTATTATAAACTTGTGTTTCTCAAAAAGTACATAGAACAAGACAATTATGTATAGTACAAGAACTTTTTAGGGGTGGTTACCTCTTATAAGCTTTCCTATCACACAGCTGCTATTCTAGGAGGGTGGAAGATCCTGGTACCAGGAAAGATACTAGAAGGCGGGACAACTTTTCCGGTTCGGTAACTTACTTGCAGAAACTGCGGTCCGTGTGGTGCCCAAGTGGAGAAGGAATTAAAAATTGAGAGCGACAAAAACAAAAGTGCAGTTTGGGCCCTTGTGCTCTCTTTACTGGCGTTCATAACTACCGGCTTTCAGCAAAACTGTCATATTAATCAGCTGATGGTAACGACAGACGAAATGGTCAGCTTTGCATGTTTATTGCCGTGATTATCCAATGCCCGACCCGCCACCATATTTGTCTGGTTTGTTCCTAGTAGAAAGATCTTCCTACCTCTAAGCCAAGAAGATCCTAGCATTAGAAAGATCCGGCTTGCGCTTACGACTAGTTCAACACTTAAATTATCCGCCTTTTAGGAACCTCCTGGCGCTTGGATCTTCCTTCCTCCTTGAAAAGAGCTTGCCTTTTTAAAATGGCTTTCTTGAAGCCGTGCCCAATACAAAAACACAATCGGCAAAGGACCTTTTTAATAATTACAGAGAATATATGAGACTTTATATATTACTAACAAATAGTGAATTCTTAGCTATTTTTTAGATGGCAAACCAATATTGACCCCTTCCTGTCTTGCTCCTTTCCTATATAGTAAGACTATTGAAACTCGCTTCTTCAGATTGGTATGCCGAATACACTCTCTTCCTGTCTTATTTCGTTTCTCTTTCTCTTATTTGTCTGGTTTTGTACTTAGCATTTACTGAGAAGTTTACAGTACAATCACCTGTTCTTGGATCGATGATCCTGCTGACTTTATTTCTTCATCAGACTTGATCACTCTGTAATACATTTTTTGGAATAAATGTGAAAGTTATAAAGGCTCACTCTACTTAAAGCTCCTTGTACTTTTGTTTACAACAAACAAGTTAATAAATCTCAGCTAAAAACTGAACGAAGAGTGATAATATAATAGGCAAATTGATCTTACAACTAATGTAAGTTTGTTAGACGCTTGTAATAACTTAGGCTGCAGAACAGCTGTTATTTTTTTGCCTTTTTCGGGAATAAGAAGCGCAAAGCGTAGTTGAAGCGCAAGACGCACTCTCTGGATGAGGGAAGGTGAGGATTTTTTTTTTCTGTTAATTTATATTTCTCCCTCGCGTGTGGTTGTCTGGCGCTCCTCGCTCGCTTCGCGCTAGCCTTCGCTCTCCCGAAAAACGCGAAAATTACACTGGCTTTAGAATCGCATTACATTTCCCACTGGGTTTAATTTGCCAGTGCATCTACGCGTGCAAGTGAAACTGTTAGGGTTAAGGTTCGAGTTACACGCAGTAGCCTGCGATCAAGCTCTCTATTTATAGCGAGTGAAGAGAGCCGCAAGATAACGCGGCTCTCGCGTGACTTCTCCCGACTCCCGGCCAAAAATGGAGAGCTAATTGCTCGCAGGCTAGAGTTACAGGACCTGCAAACACGCACACCAGGGGCGGATCTAGGGGGACGGTGCAGGGGGTGCACCCCCCCCCCCCC